ATGTTGAAAGATCTACAGTAGTGTAAGCTAATTTCTGGTAATTTTGCCTAGTTTTCTAGTGCCTGCAAATAGAAAATCTCACCCCTAAAGATGTGTGTGAATAAGCATGTCCCCACCAATGGGCACATCAGGCAGGGGTCTGCTCTTAACCTAATTATCTAAAATGATCCTCTGTTTTAAGGAGCAGAATGCAGGGATTCTCATTGTACTCTCAGCTAACACATTATTGAAAGTTGAAATGTGTTTCATGCTGATTTTTAAGACCTCACAATCAAGAAGTGTGTTCTTTCAATATTTCTAACAGCCATTTCATTCCTATGTTTAGGCAGTACCATAAATTGTTTTCACCATAAATTTCTAGTAAGCTTACTTTTAGCTGATTTTTAAATATTTCACATGAAGCAAAATGGTAAATCACTTGAAACTTAACAGTTTTTATGAAATCTAGAATGAAGATAACATTTTGTGTGTCCAGTTCTTTACACACAAGTATAGTAACTTGGTTTGGGATTCTGCACACAGCTAACCTAACTGTGCTATGAGACAGGATTCTTTTGTTTAAGGATTTCTTAATGTACTTTAGAAATTCTCAACACCAACCTTCATAAATAAACAAAATCATAAAAATAAATATACTTCTTCATTTGTTATACAGATGTTAAAGACCATTTGAGGAGCAGAGTGTGGTACTGGTGATAAGATAGTGAACTGGCACTTTTTAAAGCTAAGGATATTTGGGGATATCCAACAATTTTTTACTAATCTCCTTTAAAAGACACTTAACAGAAGACCAAGCAGGAAGGGAAGGAAGAAAAGATAGTTGTAAACAGAGAGGGAGGGAGGCAAACCATAATAGACTCTTAAATACAGAGAACAAACTAAGGGTTGATGGGGGTTGGGGGGCAGGGGAGAGGAGGAAATGCGTGGTGGGCATTGAGGAGGGCACTTGTTAGGATGAGCACTGGGTGTTGTATGTAAGCGATGAGTCACAGGAATCTACCCCCCAAACCAGGAGGGTATACACTGTTTACACTGTATATTAGCCAACTTGACAATAAATTATATTTAAAACAAAAAGAGAGATTATGTTCCTTTCAATTTCTGTAAGTTGATTTTAATAAAGGTGAAATAATTAACATTCATTCTCTGAGTGTTAATTGGATACTCCATACATAGAATTTTATAAGGCCTTCAATGAATGGTGGTACCAGACATACCCTCCCACCTAAAACAAATGGATAATTACATGATACAATAGCTCTCAAGGTATTGGGTATGAGGCAGTTAAGGACAGTGATCCCCAAGAGATGGGAAATAAATGAAGTAAGTCCTACAATTGTACTGGCTCATTGCCAACACATATTCTGGGGAGGGGGACATCCAGGTGGAGCACAGCAGTTTATCTGAGTGGAAGAGATGAAGCTAGGAGTTTGGGGAGGCCAAGATGTATAGTATGCACAGGGCAGAGTACCAGAGAGGAGAAAGCTGCATGGATAGAGAACTGTAGAGATCTGCAGAGATCTCTAACCTTCAGCTGAGTATTGTTTGGCACATGAGAAGCTACCCAGGGCCCAGGAAAGAAAGAACCACCTAAAAAGATTGGAGGGAATAATTCATTGGAGCTCACACAGGACTGCAAAGAAGTTTCTGTTCCCACTAGCCACAGTGGAAAATCTTATTATTTACAGACAAGTGGGGAAAATACTCAGAAGCTTTTTGTCTCCACAGTGGGACAGAATTTTTCCTAGACTGTTGTCCTAGACTGTTCCAGGCCTGCCTAACAAAGATTAAAAGCACATCATAATCAAATTGCTTAGAGCCAGTGATAAAGAGAAAAACATTGTAAGCTTTTTATACTATATATGAAGTGTTATAATATTCCTTAAGGGTAAACTTTGATAAAATATATGATATAAACCCTAAAGTAACCGTTAAAATACCAAATATTTATATAGCTAATAAGCCAACAAATGAGATAAAAGGAATCATAAAAATACTCAATCCAAAAGCAGTTAGAGAGGAAGAAAAAAGAGGGAACAAAAAACATGAACAAATGGAAAACATAGCAATATGGTCAATTTAAAGCAAACCTTATCAAAAAACATATTAAATGTAAATGGCCTAATACCCAATTAAAAGACAAATTACCAGCTTGGATAAAAAAGGAAGATTCCACTATATGCTACCTGTAAGAAACACAAACACAACTTAACACAACTTAACACAAAGACATAAATAGGACAAAAGATATGGAAATAACAATATACTATGTTAACATTAATCAAAAGAAAACAGCAATGGTTATTTTAAAAAACAAAATAACCAGAAGAAAGAATATTATTACAGAATAAGGAAACAATCATAGTGTTAAGGGTGTTAATTTATGAAGAGGACCTATCAATTCTAAACGTTTATGTGCCTGATTACAGAGCTTCAAAACATGAAACAAAATGAACTGCAAGCAAAATCAGGTAAACACAAAATTATAATTGGAGATTTCAACATCCCTCTCTCAATAATTGACAGAAGAATAGGGAATCAGCAAGGACATGGAAGACTTGAATTAACTAATAGCCAACTTAATCTAATTGATATCTATTTATATCTATATCTGTATTTATATCTATATAGTTATATATCTCTTCCACTACCACCAGCTGAACCACCTTCTTTTCAAGGCATATAAAATATTTCTATGATAATCCATATTCTGGGCCATAAAGAAAGCCTTGATAAATTTAAAGAATTTAAATCATACAAAGTATGTTCTCTGGCTACAGTGAAATTAAATTAGAAATCAATAACCACAATTCTAACTGTTTCAATAATTAGAAATTATTTTGAACTGAGTGAAAATAAGACGCAGCATAGCAAAATTTGCAGGATATACTAAGGCAGTACTTAGAGGAAAATTTATAGCACTAAAGTGCCTGTGTTAGAAAACAAGATCTCATATCAGCTCCCATCTTAGTAAACTAGAATAAGGATCAAAGTGGCAATTAATTTAAAATGGAAAAACAATAGAGAAAATCAATATAAGATTAGTTTCTTAGTTTTGACACTAAAAGTGTGGTCCAGGGGCACCCAGGTGGCTCAGTCAGTTGAGCGTCCGACTCTTGATCTTGACTCGGGTCATGATCTCACAGTTTGTGAGTTCGAGCTCTGCCTCAGGCTCTGTGCTTACAGTGTAGAACCTGCTTGGGATTCTCTCTTTCCCTCTCTCTCTGCCCCTTCCCTGCTCACACTCTCTCAAAATAAATAAACTTTAAAAAGTATGGTCCATAAAAGAAAAAATTAATAAATTGGACTTCATCAAAATTAAGAACATATGTTCTTATAATGATACTATTAATGGAATGCCACACACTAGGAGAAGATATTTTCAAATCACATATCTGATAAAAGAATATGTAAATATGTAAAAACCCAAACTCAATAAGAAAACAGTGAAAGAAAAATTGGGCAAGTGAGATGAACAGATTTCACTGAAGAAGAAATACAGATGGCAAATAAATACATGCAAAGATGATCAACATCAGTAGTCATTAAGGAATTGCAAATTAAAACCATAATGAGGTACCGCTACATACTTAGTAGATTGTCTAATGTTAAAAACTGCTGACCATACCAAGTTTTAGCAAGATCATAGAGCAACTGGAGCTCACATACACTATTGGAAATATAGAATCATAGAAACACTTTGGAATATAATTTGGCAGTTTCTTAAAACATTAAACATATACCTACCATATGTCCTAGCCATTCCACTCCTAAATATTTAACCAAGAGAAATGAAAGCATGTGTCTATACAAAGACTCATGCATCAAAATGTAACAGAGGCTATGTTTGTAGTAGCCAAGAACTGCAGACACCTCAAATGTCCATCAAGTCACTGGGTAAACAAATTGCTATTCATCCACAAAATGGAATACTACTCAGCAATAAAAAGGAATGGATTTTTGATAAATGCAGTAACATGGCTGGGTCTCAAAATAAATAAAAGGAACCAGACCAAAGAAACCATACTGTATGGTTTCATTCATATAAAATTCTAAAAAATGCTAACAAATGTATGGTAATATAAAGCCAATGAATGCCCCATATGTAGTGGGGCAGGGGAGAGAGATGGATCACAAAAGGGCATTAAGGAAGTCTTGGCCATGATGGGTATGTTCATTATCTTGATTGCGGTGATGGTTTCATAGGTGTATACATATATCAGGACATCAAATTGTATACTTTAAATATGCACAGTTTATTCATGTCAGTTAAACTTAAATTTTCAAGGATGGCATTGTGTATACCCTCATTCTAATTCTGTTCAACAATGCTGTTTTGAGATTTTTGGTTTAATGTTCCAATTAATCTCTTAGGTCTCTCACCTGGAGGTTAAACATTATCTAGCCATTGTACTTGCCTTGTTTCCAAACCCATCACTATTTAGTGAGAAAACCAAATCCAGGGCATTTTTGATTCTGTAGTAAACCAATAAAATGGATGTATTACTTAAGAACACACGTAAGAGCTACTAAATGGATAATCTTTTGTCTTACACTTCTGCATCTTATAATAAAATGAACATTAGACACTGTATCTTTGAATGTTTAGGTTACTGTTTTGCTTTTTGGACTCTAAAATACAGACTCAAATCCTAAACATTAAAAAAAAATTACCTCCCAAATTCACAGATTCTGGCTCTTGTATGTTTGGTGAGCTATACACACCCAGTCTGCCATCTTATTCCTTGGAAGTCCTGCTTGGGCATTGTATTTTGAAATCTGTATTACAAAGTCTTTTATCCTTTTATTAGTTTAGTACTTTAAGCCTTAGACATAAGAAAGAAGACTATCAGTGAAAATCAATTGAAATGCAGTTAGATAAAGATCTGTTGTACAAGGCAGAAGGCTTAGTTGCAGCACAATATAATCAATTAGGACCCTCCAGCTGCATACAGAGTTTTACCCAGCCAATCACTTTTCACACGTTTCCTCCATTAGCTTGACTAGAGTTCTTTTTTTTTTTAATGTGAATTATGATGAATGAGATTGTTGTTATGAATAGAGAAGATGGGTCATTAACCTACAGAAACCAGACTATGCTGGCGTTTAGTGATTAGGGCTTTCTGCTCCTGCTATCAATAAAGTATAAATTTATCTGTCTCAAACTGCAATTGGGAAGCTGTAGCCATTGTTATCTAATTCATTTAACAATGTTATAATCATAAATTGTTTTTGTTCATCTGGATACTTTACATAACTTTTAAGTTAGTTGTGAGGGTGAAGGAATATAATTTATTAAATAGCAGTGGGAAATTTTTCATGGCTTAAAATCAAATAAATACCCCCAGGAATTAGTACTCCCAAATTTAGCAACCTGGGTATAGCCCTTCAAGATGTCAAAAAGCGGAAATAATGAAGTTTTCATGCCCTACATGAAGATGCTGGAGGTTTGCAAAGTAATGACTATTAGCTTATTACAGAAGTCCTGTGGTTGTTAAATTCTAAAAATTAAGTGACTGCTTTTCCGGGGCTTGGGTTGAGGAATTCAAGAGGGAGGAAAAGAGTTGCAGTTTAATGTATCTGCTAAGTGACTAAGATGGGTTACTGGTAAATTGGGCCAATCAGCCTAATATTAGCATGTTTTATGAAAAGAAAAATCAATCCTTAGAAAACCTTTACCAGAATAAATTAATAGAAGAGGTCCTCCTATAAACTGTTGATTTATAAGCAAATATGAGGGGTTTTTTGCTCCTAAAATAGTTTTTGATTTTCGTTATTTTAACTTTTTCCTATTCCTGTCTCCTGTTGTCACAGAAAAAGGCATGTGTGCGTGCATGTGTGTGTGTGTGTGTGTGTGTGTGTGTGTGTGTGTGTGTGTCTAGATTATTGGGCATACTCGGCCCTCACAGATGTCAGTGCATGAATAGAAAAATTTCATTGTCTGCAGGCATGAATAATTTTAACGTTGTATGGAAAGGCAGAAACTGTTGACTGATTGTGGTGGATACGAAAGAAAACCCCAGTAGAGATGCTGTTCTTGAAGTTTAATGTTCAAGCATACCAGCCTTTGAGGTCCATTGATGAAAAGACTTTTGTATTTTGTGCCATGAGGGTGGGGGAGAAGTACTCAGTACTAGAAGAGTTAATAAACACCAAGAGCTGTGCTCATCTTGTAGCTTTAGTAAGCTTTAATCTGTAAGCTTGATTACCTCCTAACCCTCTATCTCTTGCCTCCCCCTTCAAGCACTGCAGGAGCTTTATGGTGGTATTAGTGGCACTTTGCCCAACATTGGCTTTAGGGAAATCATTCTACAAGAAAGAAAAGCAGAAAAGGATCTGTCTGTTGTGTGAGGTCATTAACACAAGAATAACCTTATGAGTTCTAGAGGGCAGGAGGGATGTCTGTCTTTACTAGAAATTTGCAGGTGGAATATCACTATCCTTTTCTTGAAGCCCACCTTGTTCCAGGCCTGGTGGCATACATCATCTGGAAGAGCTCTCTTCAGATACTTTCAGCAGGATACCAGTTGTGTATCATGGAGGGCCCTTTGTATTTGCTGGGATATTTCATAAAAACATGTTTGCAAGCTATAGCTTCTAGGATTCTTTTTTAGGGACACTCACACAGAGTGGCTATGGAATTAATTCTCAGTATTGAAAATATTCTAGTGTCTGAGACCAGATTCAGTGCTCCCTGTTTTGCCAAATGTCATTAAGTCATTAGTGTAGGGGACTTGCTGTGAAGGACTGATTAAAAGCTCAGAGAGGCCTTTGTACATTTTTATATTAATCCCAAGAGCTTTACAATATTCTCTCTTTTTTTTCTAATGAGTAGTTTGAGAAGATAATATTATTTCACTTAAAAAATTTTGAAAGATAAACAAAGAAAATGATTATGGCCACAGGTAAGAGATTAAATGATTCAGCTAACAAGCTGTAATAAATAAATACTGAGCTAATATACTGTTACACTGGGAGCCACTGGGTAGAAATAACATTGTTTGAATTTAAACCCTGTGTTATCAGAGGATGTAAGAGAAACAGTGAAAATTGTCACTGTTACTGTTACCCCCGGGTGTCACCAAAGAATAGGTGTGCCCTACAAGTCAGGAAACAACTCAGAGGGACTCTTGCAGCAAGTAATGGGCAAGTGTTGGCTGACACTTGCTGCCTTTATCAGGAGCATTGGTCCTGTGCTGTGTGTCTGTGCAATGGACCAAAAAGCAGCAGTCCAGCCTCACAGATGGTTTTGCCTACAACTGGCTTTGTTCTTTAGGCACAGAATAAAATTGAATTGAGGGTGAAGTAAAATGACCATGTAGAGCCCAAGGATAGAATATAAGCTCTCTAGAGCATTATCTTCTGTCCGTGAATTCCCAGTAGCTGCAATAGTCCCTGGCAGATAATGGTGATTTGATATGAAATTTGAATTCATTAATTGCCATGACTGATAAGAGACAAGAGATGATCGGATCCGGGCCTTATACTTCTATGGTAAGACCTAGAACACTGCAGGCCCACTGGTGGTGGTCAAGGGAAGGATTTTAAGCAGCTCAGAACAAAGTATGGAGTTGCGAGGAGATAATGCCAACCACAGCTCAGAACTGGGAAGCTACTCACTGCAGGTTACGTTCGTTCTCTTTGAACCTTTGTTCAACCATTTATGGATCGATATACCCAGAAACATGTGTTCATTCTAATTGTGACTTGTTGAAGGAATTATTTCCTTAATACAAGAACCTTCTTTTGAGGTCCTCCTCCTCTTCAAGTGTTGAATGCCATTTAAAAATTTTTGCTATTATAGTTTTCCATTAAGAAATTTCCTTCATTTTAAAATTTATAGTTCCTTGCTTTTAGAAAACTTTGGTCATTTGCATATTTACACATTTCATGTGTCAGTGGCCAAGTTGTCCATGACAGGAAAATTCATTGGCAAAAGCCTCACAAGACAAAGGCTTAAACCTGGTCTTAAGTGTGGCTTTTAGAAAAATGTGTTTTCTTTTTTTTTTTTTTTTAAGTTTATTTATTTATTTATTTATGTATTTTGTAATCTCTACACCCAACATGGGGCTTGAACCCATAATCAAGAGTTGTATGCTCAGGGCGCCTGGGTGGCTCAGTTAGTTGAGTGTCCAGCTTTGGCTCAGGTCGTGATCTCACGGTCCGTGAGTTTGAGCCCCACATCAAGCTGTGTGCTGGCTTTGTGGAGCCTGCTTGGGATTCTGTCTCTCTCCCTGTCTCTGCCCCTCCCCTGCTTGTGCTCTTTCTTTTTCTCAAAAAAACAAAAACAAAAACAAAGAAAAACAGTTATGTGCTCTACCTGCTGAGCCACCCAGGCACCCCTAGACAAGTGTGTTTTCCAGTATGTTGTTCCACATTAGTAAGAGATGTCTCCTTATCTTGGTAGTTCAAAATAAAAATATTATTTTAATTTAAATATCTTTCATGAAAATATATTATTTTAATTCATATGATGCTTCAAGCTAAATATTGTATAACAGACTTATAAAAATACTATAAACATATGTTTGTTATTTTTTAACATGAGGTTTGCTAAGAGTAATGATAATTAAAAAGTAATTTATCCTTGGGAAATCACAGGTAAGGTTATATGTAAAAATTAATTCTAAATAGGATCATAAATATAAAGAGCTAAAACTGTAAACTTTACTTTAAGAAGAAAAACTAGGAGCATATCTATTTGTTCTTGATTTTGGCAGAGATTTTTAGATGGGATGCAAAACCTTGAACCAGAAAAAGTAACTGACACATCAGACTAAGTCAAAATTGTAAATGCTTGCCCTTGGAAAACTATTGTTAAGAAAATGAAAAGGCAAGCCACAGACTGGAAGAAAATCTTCTCAGAACATATACATTTGATCCTCTTCCTCACAGATTCCATATTTGCAAGTTTACCCGTGTACCAAAATTTATTTGTAACCCCAAACCAAAACCTGTTTGCTGTGCTTTCTTGGACAGATGGGTAAAGCTGCAAAAAATTTCAATTGCCTGACATGCACTTTCTCAACTGACTTCAAATAATGTGACACTTGCTTTGCCTTATTTGAGCTCTCATGCTATGGTTAAATGTCCTTTTTCTGATCTATTTAGTGTTACATTTTTTTGCATTGTTGTGTTTTTGTTAGTGATTTCACCGTTTAAAACAACCCCCAAGCATAGTGCTGAAGTCCTATCTAGTGTTCCTAAGTGCAGGAAGGCTGAAATGTGCCTCACACACACACACACAAAATAGATATGTTACTTGAACTTAGTTCATGTATGAGTTATAATTCTGTTGGCCATGAGTACAATGCTAATGAATTAACAATACGATACATACAGAAAAAGGAAGAGGAATTCATTGATCCGTACATGAAGCTGCTCTGGGAAATGCTAGAGTAACATCTAGCAGGGAAAGCAGCTAAATTTGTGGATTTAGGAGATGACAACTGATAAAAATTGTGGTGGACAGTATTGTTAAAAAGGTAAAGTTATATACAAATTAATTCTAAATGGTATCATAAATCTAAAGTAAGAGCTAAAACTGAAAAGAACTTTATAGTCACATTACCCATGGTCAGGAAAACCTTACACCGATTTTGATTAGTGCCGGCTGGCTTGCATATTTCCAAAGACAGTATAGCACAAAAATGCTAAATTTGTAATCAAGGAAAGTTCTGTAGATTGGGAGGTTGCAGAAAAAATTTTTTTAAATACCTGCTAAGTGATAGGAAAGAAAGTTAAATGGATGAGAAGGTTTTTGATGCTTTATTGTTATTATTATCATTACTATTATTATTAATATTGAAGTGTAATTGACATACAATATCCTGTTAGTTTCAGGTGTATATCATAGTAGTGCAGTATTTTAATATATTGTGAAATGATCCTCATGATAAGTTTAGTTATCATCTGTCACCATACAAAGCTATTACAGTATTAGTGCCTATATTCTCTATGCTGTATTTTATATTCCCATGACTTATTTATTTTATAACTGGAAGTTTGTACCTCTTAATCCCTTTCATCTATTTTACCCACCTCCCTCAAACTCTCTGGTAACCAACAGTTTGTTTACTGTATCTATGAGTTTGTTTTGGTTTTGTTTCTTTCTTTTATTTTTTAAATTCCACATATAAGTGAAATCCTATGGTGTTTGTCTTTCTCTGTCTGACTTCTACGTAGTACCCTCTAGGTCCATCCATGTTGTTGCAAATGGCATTCTTTTTTATGGCTGAGTCAAATTCACACACACCACATCTTCTTTATCCATTCATCTATCAATGGACACTTGAGTTGCTTCCGTATCTTGGCTATTGTAAATAATGCTGCAATGAACATAGGAGTGCATATATCTCTTCAAATTGGGGTTTTTATTTTCTTTGCATAAATACCCAGAAGTAGAATTGGTAGATTATATGATACTTATATTTTTAATTTTTTGAGGCGCTTCTATACTGTTTTCCACTGTGGCCACACCAATTTACATTCCCACCAACAGTATACAAGAGTTAACTTTTCTCCACATCCTCAACAACACTTGTTTTTTTAATTCTTTTTTATAATTGCTGATCTGACAGGTATGAGGTGATATCTCCTGATCTTGATTTGCATATCCCTGATAATGATGTTGAGCATTTTTTTTATTTGCCTGTTGGCCATTCAATGCTTTTGAGACTAGTTTTCAGTGCTGATGAGACATTGGCAAATGAACCATATAATGTAAATGGCATTTCATTTGATGACAGTGTTGTGATCCCAAGCTCACAGGAACCTTGCTCTAGTTTTCCCTTAGGAAATTTCTCTTATAACTCAATAATGAAAAACACAATTCAAAATGTGGGCAAAGAGACTTCACCAAAGAAGATTTTAAAAGTGACAAATAAGTATATAAAAAGGTACTCTGACATTGGGGAAATGATACTGTATGCTACGAGAATGACTAAAATTTAAAAGACTACTAATACCAAGTGTTGATGAGGATATGGAGAAACTGCAGAACGCTTATGCATTATTGTTGGAAATGCAAAATGGTATAGCCACTTTGTAAACTAGTTTGGTAGTTTCTTATAAACATACATCTACCATATGATTCCACCATTCCACTCATAGGTATTTACTCAAAAGAAATGAAAACATACGTTTATTCAAAGACTTGTACTCAGATGTTCATTGCAGCTTCATTCATAATAGCCAAAACCTTGAAACAAACCAAATGTTCATCAGCTTATGAACAGACAACAAAAGCTGTGTCCTATCCCTGCTTAGCAATAAAAGGAAAGGGAGTACTGATTGATACACGTAACAAAGTGCATGAATTGGAAAAGCATTAGGTTAAGTTAAAAAAGACAGACATAAAACACGACACATGATTCCATTTATATGAAATTCTAGAAAAGGCAAAACTGTAGAGATAGAAGGCAGATCAGTGAATGTCAGGGGCCAGGAGTTGGGGGACAGGTATTGACTTCTAAAAGGCACGTGCAGACCTTTTGGAGTGATAGAAATATTCTATATCTTGACTGTGGTGATTGATTGCATATTATATACATTAAAAAAAACCTCTCATATTAATGCCCTTCTGAAGCTAATTAAAACAACAGCAACAACAAAACTTACCAGAACCGATAAGGCCCAGCATAATAAAACTGTGCCTACTTTTTTTCAACTTAAAACAAATAAAAGGGTTTTGTTTTTTTTTTTTTTTGTATTTGAATTTATAGGTCTTCAGCCCAACAAGGGCTACTGATCATGTGGAGTTATCTTCATATAAGCCAGTAATAATTAAAATTTTTCTTTTTTTGAATAGCTAATGGGCTAATGGTTTAAATACTTACCCATATTCTAGTATGTTCTTCTCTTCTATGACCATGCTGTGACCTCTGAAAACAAAAGTTAGAGATCGGAAGTAACTAACTGACAATTACAGTGGTTGATACACTCCAGTTTAAATAGAAGTGTCCTCGGTTAAAATATGGTTCATTCATCGGTCAAACTGTCCTTATTTCCTTTAATTGAATTAAGATGGACAAATGAGAGATGTGTGCAAGACAGAAAAAAAATCCTTTCACAAATCACTGTTATCCTCCCTTTGAGTGTAAAACGAATCAATTAAAAGCATGTCAAAGTATCTTTCACTCTTGAACAACTTTAAAGCAGAAAACATTTTACAAAAATAAAAATTTGAGTGAGAAATGGAGAGAAACTGGTTACATTTTATAGTTAAACATAATTTAATTTTATCTCCAAGAACTGTGGATTATATTACTTTATATGCTCTCGTTTGGTTACAAATTATAACTGTGCTACAAAGCCTTCATCTTTCGTTTTATCTTCAACTTGGAAATAGAAAGAAGAAAATAGAAAATAGAGGAAAACAGTCAATTCACAGTTGTCTATACACAATTTGGTTTCATCTGTACATATACTACATAGTATTCCTGGAGGAGGGATGTGGGAGTAGGATAGAAGGTAAAATGTAATTTTTATTTTTCCACCTAGTTAGGCAGCTAGTTTGAAAATGTGGCATCCCTACTCTTTCTATTCCATTAAATTATTATTGATTTGTACTATATCTTATGTGTGGATTCATACACATTCTATAAAGTAATTTTTAACCTGTGCATTAAAGTGAATTTTATTAAAATTAGTTATCTGCTCCTGTATTTTACCTCTATTTTCACTAGTCTACACATGCAAATCTATACCGCTTAACTCAGAGCCTGCTTCCTGTTTGTAATTTGTATCTTTTCATACTTAAATATATTTTTCCAGCTCTCTAAATTTGGTTATAGATAGGCTCATAATTTGTGTTGTTTATTCATTTGAATTTTTTTGTTTTTAATATTTTTAATCTTAATAGTCTCAAAATTCAAACCTGTAATACAAAAGAGTACATAATGAAAAACCTCTCTTCTACCCCAATAACATTATCAGTTTTTTAATCCTTCCAGATATGTTTTATGCAATATATATTCGGGTTAAAGGGGAAAAAATGAAGCAAACTTTATAAATTGGGGCCGGGATCAAAATTTCAAAAATATTAGAGTACTGCCAGTTTCTACCTGTTGATTTGTATAGAATCACCTTGACAACATAAACCAGATCTAAGCTTTTAAGCATTATCAGTGACATCAAGATAGACTCTTCAATAGGAGATTTTAAGAACTTAAAATACTCTGAATGTCAGGCTTTTGGAGTTTCTTTTCTCTGGACTTGATGTCTATGACATGTGTTCCAGGCTAGAATTCTGGTATGTCTGTGAAATTTCTCTCTTGTCACTTATCTTTTAGTATGGACCATGCCAGTGAAAGACAGCATAGATATGAATTATTGAGTAGACTGATCCCAACACATCTAGCCAGGGGATTTTCCCTTACTTTTATAATCTATACTTTATTTTTTTTTATTAAAGTTTATTTATTTTTGAGAGAGAGAAACAGACAGAATGTGAGCAGGGGAGGTTCAGAGAGAGAGGGAGACACAGAATCCAAAGCAGGCTCCAGGCTCTGAGCTGTCAGCACAGAGCCCAACGTGGGGCTCGAACTCATAGACCGCGAGATCATGACCTGAGCCGAAATCGGACGCTTAACCGACTGAGCCACCCAGGTGCCCCTATAGTCTATACTTTAAAAAAATGTCCTAAAATACCCAGGGCTGAGAATACTAATTTCCCCCTTCCATAACAAATAAATAAATAAAAATTTATAGACATAGGAGAAGAAACTAAAATCCAGAAGAACATTGGCAAACATGTTCAGGGTTATTTATTGATGGTTTTGCTCATTGGCAGTATATAGTGTGTGTCACTTGTCATTAGCAGTAACAATTTCAGCACGTTATGTTCTCTTTTTATTTACTCTGGTGGCAACATGTTTCTGAACAGGGCCACTGGCTGTGGGTCAAGAGGTCAGTCTTTGAGGTTAAGAGTGGATGGGGTCATTTGCTATTAACCTAAGATTAGCAGCTAAGTTTTTTCTCTTTTTTTTTTTCTTTTTAGCAGATTGCCTACTATTTGTGTAACATACCAAATTAATCTTGCCCAATTTTAGAAGAACTTCTCCTTTCTGATCTGAATTTTAGTTAAGTATTCATAAAGGTGTTTTTTCTATACAGATCTCCTACCAGACCCTTTTTCTAGTCCATGAAGCAATGTGAACTTTTTGTAAGATTTAAAAAATTTCTTACCCTCAGCATCCATTTCCCAATGTACAAATGCAGCTATTTTTTTTTAATAGTTTTCAACTTTTACATTTTTCCCCACCCATTTGCATACCAAACTAACCGATCCACAGCACAATTTTAGGATTTCAGAGATGTGTTCTCCCCTGAGATAGCCTGTCTCCTTGCTATTAAACAATGCCCAACTTTTAAACTAGCAAGTTTTGTTATTGTTATAGTTGTTTAATTTTAGGGCCCTATTTAGATAGTTCCCGGATATCTGAAACCTTCTTGTCCTACCTTTCAGCAAAAAGAATCACCTGTTATAATGTAGTTTCATCAGTTGCCCTGTAAAAAGTGTTCTCTGTGGAATTTCCCCCATGAGAATTTCCACACAATTCCTAGTTTATATCCTGGTATAAACCACAAGCCTGTTCCAGTTGGTAAGTCAGTGTTAGGTCTCTTAAACCAAAGTTGTTTCTCTTCTGTCTTAGCTCATTTGATTACTAAAAAGACATTTTACTTGCCTTTAAAAAACTTTATTCCTATTGATGATTTGCTTTCTTTCTCTCTATAACCTTAGCAGTAGGGCTTAGCCTGTGGATAAGCTTATAATGAATACACTGTGGGTGGAAGGTACAACAAGCAGGGAAAGTTCTTTAACACAGACTTCTCAGAGTGCAATGTTGAGTTTAATGGGTAAAAAGGAGAGGAAGTAATGTATGTACATAAAAACTTCCATTAAACTTATGGTAAGAGCGAGATTAAAATCAACTGGATTTTTAATAATATTATGCAGTAAGAAACAGCAGACTTCAAAGGGCATGCCCTTTGTTGCTAAGTTCCTTTATATGCTTGGTGTTCAGGAAGGTAGAGAATATTTAAGGAAAGCTTTCTGGAGATAAGGTATCCAGGATGAGGAGCAAGTCAGGTAGACAGTATAGCATAAGTAAAGATTTAGAGACAAGAAAAGCCATGGTATATTCAAAGTCTCATAAGGAGGTTGACATTGCCATAATATAAATTCCTAGGCAGAGAGTTATAGGAGATGAATCCAGAACAGTGTGTGGGAATGGAGAAGGGTTTTAAGCAGAAGAGGAGTGATATAATCAGGCTTGCATTTTATTTTATTTTATTTTATTTTATTTTATTTTATTTTATTTTAT